AAAGGCTCACCGGAGAGCATAACATAATATAAAGTTAACATGACTATAACAGCTGAATGCAGTGATTTCCATGTTGCTCAGCAAAACGCTTCACAACTTTATTTAGATCCAATGCCTTTGTGCGCTTTGATTTGAGTTCAACCAAACTTGATAGTCTCTTTTTTGTCATAGTTGACCGCAAATATGTCTTTATGAGGCTGAGACGTCAGGCCTAACTAACATCATAGATAGAGAAATAACGATCTGCAACCTGATTTTTATCATCTCAAAATCAACATTGCAGCTATGCTAGCAACATTGTGCTTTCATTATGATTTCATTTCTCGATAGATAGTTAATCAGTTTTTACCTGTTTCATCCTGTGTCTCCTCTCCCCATGACCCCTGGCTCCCTCGCTTTGCCCTGCTCGGTTTTTTAAAACAATCAGTCTAGAGTTGCTCTCGCGTCATCTCGTGCTGCATTCACTGCAGTCCGACATTAGAAATTAGCGGTCGTAATTCTCAAATGATCCATAATTTATAAGCCTCGCCACCCCTACCGCCAACTGGGGTGGCAGCAGGGGTGGCAAGGCTGTCATTTAGGGTGGCATTTGCCACCCTAGTGGCATTTGCCACCCTATGCCACCCCAGTAGATCCGCCTATGCACGTAGGTAATTGCATTCACACATAGAGGGGACATGCAGGAAAAACAGACATTAAAGAAGATTAATGAAGATAAGAGCACAAAGACTTATTTAATGACAATGTATAACCACAAATAATGGCAACATCATTCCCTGAATTATCATTGTGCATTGATCAACTGATCTCTGTGGCTGAAACGTCCAACTCCTCTTTTAACTTTGATTTTAAGATATTCCCTGTAGAAAAACTGTCTGCAGAAAGGTCTGGCCTTTAATCTTCTAGACAAGACATTTATTTAAAGCTAACATGATTCATAGAGCATCCAAAGATGGAGAAGTATTAGGTTAAGTGTATGAATAATCGACAATGCTGTTATAAAGTGTTTGCCACCCTTACTGATTTCTCAGTTTTGAGTTTTATTGTCACATTTAAATATTTCAAACAATCAAACCAATCCTAATGCCAGATAAAGATAACCTGTAAATATTAATCCTGTATTTTAGTTTGTGTGGTTCCCTCTCTTCAAAACATATTTTAACGTTAGTACATCCAGCGGTTTTCAGACAAGACAGATATATTTCAGAGTATGCCACTGCATTTTTTTAAGATCAAGTCCAGGCTTTGACTAGTCCACTTCATTTCTTTAGCCATTTAAAGGTATACCTGCTAGTTCTTGATTAAGTTCTTTCCTTTTAGCTTGAGAGGAAAAAGCTTGAGCATTTTAGCAGAACTTTGAAATTTACTGATAAGCCTTAAGGTAAATTGTAGAATAGATGTTGTTAATTGTTCTTGTTTTACCTTATGATTATTAGTGTTTCTCTTAATATTTAGTAATTACTGCAAAGATAGTGTGTTAGATTAACATTAAGGTCTTGCATTAATTTTTGTTATGAACGTTTGCTGAATATTAATGTTGAATTTAAATAAATTGTACTATATAACGATCTCCTTGTTCAATAGGTAGATCGTTATATTTATTGTTTTACTTACATTAACTAAGATTAGGATCACTTTATATCATATGAGGTAGAGGATCATGTTTGCCCTTTTACTGTGACTTTTTTCACGATGCATGTATCTATTTCTCTTAAGGTTTATGAAGAATTTTGTGAATCTTTAATCCAGATTGGTCTGAACTAAATCATGATAGAGTTTGTCCATAATCTGCAACATGACGGTTAATTGAGGGCGCTCCCATAGGCCGACTGTGGCCGCCTTCATCTATGTTCAGTTGAAATAAGATAAAGCAATGCTAAACCACAGGTAAATGCTTGCAGTGAGCTGCAGGCTGTTTACATGTAACTCACTAAAAGCACTCTTAATGTCAAGTTTAAGCACACGATTATGACTGCGTTTCACATGAGCCTTCTGGAGTTTAATCTTTGACCCTTGGTATTTTTCCTGTAGGCTTGTCTCTCTGTGTTTTAGACAGTTGTTGCCATGACAGCGGTATAACCTGAGCTGCCAGTCAGGTAGGACAGGTAACCAATGGCATATGGACGAATGCAGCGGCAGGTGCCTGAGCAGGAAGGGCAGAAGTGAAAGAAAACAGGAGAAAAGAGGACGACAGAAACTTGAAACACTTATGAAGGAGTGTGTCAAATAGAAAAAAAACTATCCAAGCTGGAGGACGACAACAACACAGAAGCCCCTGAGGCCTACATGGACGATGGGGCGTTTACCACCATCTCTCTGGCAGACGACTCAGGTACAGAAGTTGTTTATCAAATGTAAGGATCTCTTAAGCAAGAGACCAAATCCTGCTTTTGTAACTGATTCTAGTCAGCTGCAATTTGCTTGCCTTTGCATAGTAAATTAAGTACAAATGATTCTCCTTGGGTGTAAAACAACTGTCCACATTTGAATATACTGGCTATTTTCCTACGTTCACCTCAACATACACCTGATTTATGGAACAAAGGGCTACCAGACAGGGAAGGCGAGCGGCTGTTTAGGTAAGCTCTAAAAGGGATTGGAGGAAGGCCTCTGAATTCACCAGACTTTATTATTGGTTCTCTTTAAGTTTAATGATCTAAAACATGTCTCTTCAAATGTATTTATGAGATCAGTGTGTGAGTGTGTGCGTGAATGGGTGAAGCGCTTTGGTCAAGTCTCCTAACTTGAATAAAGGTGCTATATAAGTACATGCCATTTGCCATTTTACCATTTACCATCATAACACATTCTTGACATATAATTAATAAACACACACTTTAAAAGAGGATATACAACTGTCCTTTTGCAAATTTATTGATTGACTTTATTGATCTCACAGTGGAGAAATGTATTTGTTACATCAGCTCAAATAGTCAAAGAAAGAGAATGTGCCGAAGGAAGAAAAAGGTGCATGGGATATACACCGTACATAAATATGACAGCTTTTTTTTTTTTTTTTTTTTTTTTTACAGTAGGATCATTATACGGGGTTATTGCATGGGGTGTTTACATGGGTATTTATATAGATGGATATTTATATATATAGTTATTGCACTGGGTGTCAAATATAGAGAGACAGGTTATTGCACAGAGTATCAAATAGTAATTGCACATTATACATTGCACAAGTTATTGCTGTTGTGTCGCATTGTAGAGTCTGGTTGCAGCAGGGATGAATGACCTGCAGTAGTGCTCTTTTTTACAAACAGGGTGTAAAAGTCTTTCAATAAAGGAGCTGCTTAGCTCTTCTACAGTCTGGTGCAAGGGGTGAAAGGTGTTGTCCATGATGGATGGAAGCTTGGACAGCGCCCTCCTGTCAGCCACTTCCTCCACTGAGTCCAGAGTGCAGCCTAGGGCAGAAGCGACCTTTCTCACCAGTTTATTCAGTCTCTTTCTGCCCAGCAGATAACAGCGTAGAGGAGGGCTGATGCTACCACAGAGTCATAGAAGGTTTTAAGCAGGGAACTGCTCATTACAAAGGATCTTATCCTCCTCAGGAGGTGGAGGGGGCTCTGGCCCTTCTCAGACAGGGCGTCAGTGTTATGAGTCCAGTCCAGGTTGCTATTGACATAAACACCCAGGTATGGGTCTTCTCCTGACGTCGATCACCGTCTTTCTGGTCTTACTGGTGTTAAGACACAGGTGGTGCTTCTCACACCAGTCTACAAAGTTCATGATGACCAATCAATACTCCAGCTCGTTCCCCTCAGAAACACAGCCTACAATGGCCGAGTCATCTGAGAACTTCTGGAGATGGCAGCTGTCTGTGTTGTAGGTGAAGTCTGAGGTGTAATGGGTGAAGAGGAAAAGAAACAGAACGGTGCCCTGGGGGGCCCCCAGTACTGCAGACTGCAACCTCTGACTGACAGCCATGCAGCCGCATTTACTGAGGGCATTCGGTGAGGTAGTTGATGGTCCAGGCAGCAAGATGTCTGTCCACTCCAGTATCCTCTAGCTTCCCTCTCAGCAGCTCTGGTCTGATGGTGTTGAAAGCACTGAAAAATTCAAAGAACATGACCCTTCAAAGAGCGTGTCTTTTTTACAGTCAGACTTCATGTATCATGTGGAGGTCACTTGAGTTAAACTAATTATTTCGCTAAGTGTCAGGAGAATTAGAGGAATTTTGCTACTCTGGAAATTAATTTGTATGTTTCTGATTGAAATGGAAGGTTTTTAATGCAACACATCAAGCATCACCTCTAACATGCCAAAAAAAGGCAAGTCAAGAAGGCAAGTTTATTTATACAAAAATTCTATATGAGACATCAAAATGAGATGTGAAAACCATAAACTTAAGATTAAGAGCAACATTTTAAACTGAGGTATGAATCAGAATTTAATCTCTAATGTCATGCTTTATTTTAATATTCAGTGATCAGGCAGACATTTCATTGGTTGGATTTTTATTATCAACAGCTGTTTTAAATAAAAAAAATGTTAAAGGAGCCATCATTTTCTGTTTTACTGTGGTTTTCAGGGAGTCAGTTTCAATTGTAGAGATACAAACTAGACACTGAGACACTAGACACCCTTTTGTTATTGATCCTGGAAACATTGGGTCATTTCTTCAAATTCTTACTTAACAAGAAACTGTAAAATGTATGTAAAAAAAAATAGTGCCTTATACAGCAATGCAATACTTTTAAATAGACAACAGACAGGTCAGCACGGTGATGGAATTTGATCCAGTACTCTATAGTCGGTCTGGACCCTTTCAGCGGCAAGAAAGGAAATTCGGTCCCCTTCATCTTTATGTCTGTCCTTACAGATGTGGCACCATCTATACGGGGTATGAAATTTACTGTATGAATTTTGTAAGCAAGGTTCCCAATATAGTGGGAATATATTTTCCTTGTAATGCTAATTGGCACAATGTTTACAATGGACATTAGTGTTTGGATAGCAATAATTGTGGCTAATATATTTCTAATGTTGTGAATTTGTATTTTTCAAGCTTTCTCACAACAAATGGTATTGCCTAAAATGTTTAAGGTCACAGACTACAGGGAGCACATAAGAGAAATACAGGGAGGAAGATAATATACATATTTTGAAATTACTGTAATAGAAATGTTTTCCTTTAGTAGGCTACACTCTAATCTGATCAAAGATTTAGGTATCTTTATGATATTAATCTTGAATCAAAACACATAAGGACACTAATGCTTTTTTGTGTGTGTCCACAGCTGTTTACAAAGCTCTGCCAGGCTATATACAAGTCAAAGTTTTTTTTTTACTGTAGTGCAGAGCAGAACAAGCAAAAGTAGGTTCTTAACTTTCTGAAGGACTGGCGTGGACACGTCCCCACCAATAATAGACTTTGGCAATATGTGGGACAAATTTCTAAATTTTATTTTGCTGCTTTTGAAGGAGGATAATCACTAATGTAGCTTAAAGTGAAAAATATTTATCAATCAATCCACAGTTTTCTGGATGGACTGATGGATTGATGAATTAAACTGAAATTGTGTCCATACTAGGGAGGCATGATATATTGCTGTTTGCATCTGAATCAGCTGTTATTCCTCCTTTTTTTAATACACATTAACGTCTATCTAGAAATATAAATGTAAGTGTATTTTGGGTCTTTTGTGTTCTCAAAAATAGGAAAGCCATTAATTCAATAAATATATGTTTTAGGTCATTTTTGGAAAATACAAACCCTATTGAGAGCGTTTGTGTGGAGCAACTGTAGGTCCATCAGCCACCACCCTGAGAGTGGCCCTACCAACTTTCCTCACAAAGTTACACTCTTGTGCAAAAGACAATGACCTCTGGGGGAAAAAAAGGGTACAAGATAAATGCTAAAATGGCTTGCCATACAGAGGCTGCTTCTCTCATTGCTTTACCCGCTTGTCATCTGCTGATAGTGCGCCCCCTGTTGGTAGATCTTAAAAATAAAAACACCCGGTGGAGGTTTTTTGTTTTTTTTAATATCAACTGTCGTCATCTCTCTCCATCTTCAACTCGGTTGAGTAAAACATCATAGAGCAACTTGACTACACTAAAAGGTCGTTCTTTTAACTGTAGGTGAGTAAGAATCCTCCGTTTCCCAAAAAACTGTAAGAAAAACGTCCAACTTGCTGTTAAAAACGGATTATAGAATGCTAACAGTCGCCATTAGCAGACGATTGCTTTAAATACCAGCTTAACACCAGTGTTCAATTTGACTTGTTACCTTTCTACCTGAGTCAAAAATCGCAGTTTATAACCCTCGCTTCTTGCTTTTCATTATCCTTGTATCTGATGTTAGGAGGGGTTAGCTGCGAAGCTAGTTAGCTAATATGGCTAAGCTAAGCGCACCCATTATCGGACACGTTTTCACCCTTTTCTCGTTTGGCCTAAATGTGACGTTTCACGGTGTTTATTTTTTTGCTCACAAGGTAGTTTATTTCTCTCCAGGGTTGATTGCATTATTCAATAATCAACCTGAGCAGTGATAGAGATCCTGTCAGCAGAAAGCAGACAGGGGTTCACCTCTGATGCAGGGCGCGGTACTCATCATCATCATCATCATCAAAGCAGAGGCACCTGAGCTCTCATCCTGTTTCCAAATAAAACCTGATAATATCCATTTATACAGATAATGGATTATAAAAGATAGATTTCTTTAGTATTATCATTTGTTAATCAACTTTCCTGATATAAAACAGTTTAGTCTCAAAATATTTTGCTCCAATTTAATTTATTGCAAAAAAAAAAAAAAAAAAGTTAACCATCTTTAATTTTTGGTACATTTGAAGGTCTTCATATTAACTCGCTTTCCTCCCTTTTGCTGTTTACCTTCTATAACCAGCCGTATAAAGAAGAATATTATGAATTATTAAAGCATTAAAAGGCAGAGTGTATTTAGGAAATTACACCTGCTGGTCAAATCTAGTGTCTGATGATGATGATGGTCTTATTAACATCTAACCCGAGGTGACCATATTTCCCAATGATAAACAAAGATGAGGTCAAATTTTTAAAAGAGTTGCATAAAACCTATGAATTTAAATGAAACGGATTTATTAAGGAGACACAAAGCTGGCGGAGAGCTGATTTCCCATCAGATCCAAATTAGTCAGTGATTTTTATTAATACCAGACATGGGGTAATATTTTAGCTGTAGGCAGGTGAATCCCCAAAAAATATATTTACCCTAAATAACATCCAAATGAATCATACATGTTAAGCTTTCCGACAGCACACTAAAATAATCAAACACAGGTTATCATTAAATCAGTGTAGCCTGCTTACTTACTTCCATATTCCTGGGATTTATTTTTATATTTAGACAAGTAGCTTCTGTATATGGTATGCCTGAAATACTGCAACAGGAGCCATGGAAAAAAAAACACAAAAAAATTTTTAAATGATGTAAAACTTTTAAAGAATTGCAAAGCAGCACAGCTGAACTTCACCTGCGTTTCTCTCCGTTAGCCAACAGTGGATCTGCAGCCCTGTATACTAAACAGGAGGACGATCTCTTCATCATGAACTGTGACATAGATGGTGAGTCCTGCAGTTTAGCAGGAAATGTTATTTGTTAGGTGTTTTTTATTTTATTGCTAACACTGAATTATTGTGTGTTTCAGGAGACCTGGAGAACCAGGCTGAGATGGAGGAGAAGACGAGGTTGATCAATCAGGTTTTGGAGCTGCAGCACACACTGGAAGGTCGGCAGGAGCTTTCAAGAAATTTTAACTGCGGGACATATTTAACCAACCAGAGCTAATTTAGTTAGCTATGTGGAAGAATTTATTTTCCTGATAACTAGACCCCTCTGCTATGACAGCTAGATTGAGTTGTTTAGTAAATAATGTAGGGTTGGGCTGTCAGACTCACCCTCCTTAGCTGTGGAACTCTGCAGCTCCTCCAGAGTTACTAGAGGTCTGAGTGCTCCTCTGAAGGTTGTTCTTCTTTGCAGTTGATCCGTTTTTAGGCGATGGATTTAATTGTTCTTTTACCTTCTCATAAAGCTACAGGAGTTTATTTACATAGAGATTAATTCTACTTACTGGTATCTTGTTTTTTTTTTAATGTCATTTAGATTTGCTGTTCTTTGTTAGCTTATCACATAAAATCCCCAAAAAATGACATGTGAAAAAGTTCAGGGTATGAATACCTTTCAGGAAAACTAAGTTTGGTTTGATTCAGTTTAAATACAGTTTTCAGTTTCACATTTTCCAAGATAAATGTGCTGGAGCAGATTTCTAAGGTCTCTCATTCGGACGTTTCAGACCTGTCTGCTCGAGTCGACGCAGTAAAGGAGGAGAACCTGAAGTTAAAGTCAGAGAACCAGGTTCTGGGTCAGTACATCGAGAACCTGATGTCAGCCTCCAGCGTCTTCCAGACCACCGACACCAAGAGCAAGCGCAAGTGAGGCTGTGTCAGACGCGCACGGTGGATTTCCAGGGACACGGAGAAGGCGGGAGGGAGGGATTCCTGTAACCATTTTACCCGAGTCAGAACTAAACTAATGTAAATAATGAAAATAGTGTTTGTAAAAAGTTTTGTTTACATTTGAACGCACCAACATTTGGGACATTTTCGTTGAGTCTCGACTAAACGTAATGTTCAAAATTAAGTTAAACATTAAAAAAAATGTTACAAAGAAACTTATCAGCATAAATTTTATTTATTTTGTAAAATATGTTGTTTGACAGCTGGATCTGGTACTTCAGTTGGTCTTTTTTCCCCCCTTCGTGATTCCAACTGTATTCCTCTGCTTGCAGCTCATTAGCTGACCAGTGTTATGCAGAATTAACAATTGTATGACAACAGCATGTATAAGGAATAAGTATTAACATATCTAATGAACTGTCATTAAATTTAGCTCTAAACTGGATAAAGCTGAGGAATCTTTAGTGATGCTTGGAAATCAGCTTCCAGAGCTCAGTGATGACAGAAAAGCACAGAAGCTAAAAGCTAAAGACGTCACAATCAGTGTTTGGATTGCTACTAAAAGAACTCTTTAAGTTTCAGTTTTAACCAAGAAATTATAAATGAAGCTAAATCGAGTTTAAATTTAGTGCTTTTGGTTCCTCTACTTGTGATGGAGGAAGATAGAACAGGTGAAGTAACATGAGAAAGAAAGAAAGATGCTTTCAGAGCTGCTATAAGGACTCTAAGTGGTATTGATCCGATCGGTTTGGTCAGGAAGTCATCTTCATAGCGCGCCGGCAGTCAGGGCGTGTCTGTTATCCACGCAGAAAACATACAGACGGGAAGTATAAAAGGATTAAGCAACATATAGAAGTGTATGATTGTAAAGAAGAAGGAATAGTTCTTAGAATATATGGCAAATAAATAATCCTGAAAGGTATGGCCTGCATTAGAGGAAAATGCAGGAAAATATTGGGAGTAATGAATTATTGTGAAGAAACTCCAGCTGATCTTTACACATCAAAAGGTGAAAGCAGGTAGATTTTCTTTAAAACTGTTGAGTCCAAGATTTAATTGATTAAAATACGTTCATAAATGATTGAAAGTTCTTTAGCAGTTCTAGTGCATTACTGGTTACTAAACTCACCTATTTGTCTGCAGTTCTCCCAGAGTTAAAACTATTGTTTAGCAAGTTGTCAGAATCTCATGGAGGGCATCCATGTGTGCACCTGGATTTAAAATGTTTGAGTTAATGGGGCGTACAAATACAAACCTTTTTTAATACGAGGTATGTTTTCCCCTAAATATGGTTATGGCCTACTTTGATGAACATCATTCGGGTGTGTAGTTGTCACCTAAATGTTCGACTTCAGGGAGGTGGGTGGAGCATTATGTGTGCCGGTCAAAGTCATGTTTATTCTGTGTGTCATTCTAAATTCCTCCTTAGTCACTTCCTGCTCATGTTTAGAGTCAAACTGCCTTTGAATATTTTGTTTTGTTTTAATAAAAGCTCTCAAATATCACTCCGTCTTATCTGCACAGGTCTATGTAAAATAAAAAAAATGATCAAAATGGACAAAATGTATCTCTTTTTGTTAGTTTTACTTCCAAGAGCGAATATACAAACTGTAAACAGGATTTAGAGCTAAGATTTGGCAGAAGGGTCAATTACAAACTCTTCAGACATTAATATAAGGCCAGCATCTCTCCCAGCCAATGAGCTTGGAGAGCTGTTTTAAGAAAGCACTGCTGCATTTAGGTTTATTTTAAAATTTTAGAAACTCTGGTTCCCTTTCTCACAATTAATTAGCAAGGCAAAATAAAAGTCTACTTTTGCTACAAGCCTAGATCAGTTATTTATATATGTTCATATTTCAGACCTCTGCTCAAAGCAAATGAGTGTCACACATGGAGCTCAGATCTTTAATATTAAACCTTTATTCATAACGGCGTGAAACAAATTCAAACCAATAAATAGAAGATCGGAGCTCATTTTCAACTTCACATTAAAAAAGTTAAGATGCTCATTACAAACTAGCTAAAAGTCAAAACAGCAAATGCAATATTGGTTTTCTTAGCTGGATTCTTTAAACCAAGCTGAGGAGGACCGGTTAGCCTTCACTCTAGCCTCAGTGTTTTGAAACGACAATTATTGTGAAACTTTCCCCTCAAATGAAGAACAGACGTGAATAAAACTCTGCGTTTGCCGTAAAATGATAAAGTGTGTTAACAGCAGCCTGAGGCTGTGCTGCTTTAAGGACAGCAGGTGGATGGTTTGTGGAGAGAGAAGTTAAAAACAGGAGGAAGATGTTGACGTCTGACACAGATGAAGGTTGGAAACGATACGGAGGCTAGAGACGGTGGAGGACGGGGGGGACAAGAAGACGTCACCTCTGGCTGGCTCCTCCCACAGAGCAGATGGGAGGAAGGGGGAGACATGGAACAGGGTGTGTGGGTATTTGAGGCTGAAAACCTGGGCTAGGTGGGTCAGAGCTGAGACACAGATGGGGCGGCCGGGTGACTGCAGGCTACCGTCTGGGTTGGAGGAAATGCCACGCTGCTCCACTCAGGGAGGAGAGAGCAGCTAGAACAGAGAAGACCACTTTCACCTTCTCCCCCATAGAGGAGAAGAGATGGCGGGTGTGGGGCTGGCCTCAGTCTTTCCGTACCCTCCTCTTTCTGACGGCTTGTTTGTGGCTCTCTTCAGCAACGCTGCCTTCATCTCCCTGCTGAAACCCAAACAGAAGCTAAAGTTGACAAACGATTCACTTCAGGTTAAGTTTAGGTTAGGTCAACTCAGTCAAAATCCTCAAAAAAGTTATATATAGATTTATATATACATAACTGTTTTTTACAGGCATCTGAATGTAACATTTACAGTGTTTCCTCAGTCCTCTCTGGATTAAATGTGAAAGAGAGTTGAATTTGCAAAGGCTAGGTGTCTTCTATTCAGTATTAAAGTGAGGCTCTGTAGCGTAGTTTTAAGCAAAATATCAGTTTGGAGAAGCTAGATGTATTACTGGGTTAATCAGTTATAAAGTATTAAGTATAGTGGAGGCATTTACATTAAAAAGAAGATTGGTTTGAATGCCATCATTAAAAACTGGTTTAGTTGGTAAGAACAAAGCTTTCCGTTTTATCTTGATGACAGAATGAGATTTTTTTTCCTCATCAATTTATTTTTTTGTGGAATTTCTGCTGGACAGTTAGGAGCCTGCTGCCTCCTCTCCCATGAAAGGAGGAATAAATTGATGGGATGATTTTTTCATTGAAATACATTCAAACAATTACAATAATGTTAAGGTTTGACTCCTTTGAGAAATTTACAGGGGAAAAAAAAAGTTTGAATCTTCAATCAAGGCAAGTATAGTCAAAGATAGGCCTCTGATTAACACACCTTTATCTGTTATTTCTGTTAGCTTTAGCATTTCCCTGTTAGCATTGTTGGGCCATAAATAGCAACTGACACAGCGACTGAATCAAATACGGAATCCAACCAAATATTGCAGTCATTACTATTATGATGAGGACTATGATTGGATGTTATAGAGCCATCATTAAAGTAGGGTGACCAGATTTGGGTTTCTGAAAAGGAGGACTTTTTTTTTGTTTTGGTTTTTTTTTAATGGGGGAGGGGGCTGACTGGACCGGACCGGGCATTCGAACCGAGCCATCAGCTCCAGGACTGGTCCCGGTCCAGAGCCAGCCAGGGATGGAGCGACCGAACCCGACCGGTGACAGTATGCTTCCCCCCACCTGCCCAAAAATACATATAAAGGCTTTAAATGACCTGAAGTCTATAGAGGAAATATCAATTATTTTTGTAATAAAAATGTTTAAAAATATATATACGCTTAAAATTGAATAAAAATGAGTGTGCCTCATCAGGCTAATGTAATAAAACAATTTCACAAAGAATTTGAGTCACTAGGTCACATGACCTGGAAGCTATTGAAGAAAAGTCCCAACATTTGTCTTAAAAAATATCTAAAAAATTGAAAATAGCTTAAAATTGCATAAAAGCAAGTGTTACATATGTTATCTATTGCCGTGATTTTATATTCGTTTGGTCTTAGCTGGTCACAAGATAAGGAATTTATTGATTTTTGTTTCTCAAGAGTGCTTGGTTCAAAGATTTGTTGACGGTCCCTAAATGCACCACAGCGTGTGGGAGGAGGGAGCAGCTGAGAGACGCCGGCCGACATCGGAGTCCCTCAGTCGGATCAACCGTTTGCTAGTTCCCACTGACTCCGCAGAGCTTGAATATCCAGTATCCAACTTCAAACTAACTTTACCACGGTGCTGACGGCTCAGCTCTGCTGCACCATAGTCGACCAAAATCCCGGACGATTCTGAAATTCCCCTTGGGCATTTTTTTAGGTATGAAAGTAGGACATGTCCTGGAAAAAAGAGGACGTCTGGTCACACTCATTAAAACCTATATAATAGCAGTTCAACAGATGGGCCTCTACCCTGTCGGTAGGACAGGCTAATGGTCCTAAAATCAGATATTGTCTAAACCTCAGTTAACTGCTGCTCAGAACTTTGTTTAGGAACTAATTTCTGACTCTTAACTTAAAACCTGTAAAATAATCTTTCAATACCTCATCAGTCTTTAGTACTATGCATGATGTCTGCTACCTGCTCTGAACTACTCGTCAAAACTCTTAAGCTCGCTTTTGCTTGTGTGTTACAGGCTGTGTGCCTGTTCAGTTAGATGGACCTGAGATGATGCATTCTGCTGGTAACCAAACATGTACCTCATCTTCTAATGTTCTTTCTGGACTTTTGCTTTCCTCAGCTTCTTCCTCCTCCTCTTCTTCTTCCTCCATCTCTTCTTCTTCTCCATTATCTGCCCCCTCTTGATTGTCCTCTTGTGCACCATTGTCCTCCGTCACACCTTCACCTTTACATAATAAAAAGGTAAGAATGATGAGGTTGAAGAAGAAAGCTGCAGTAAAACAGACGATCAGGTGAATAGGTCACACCTGCTGCCGGTTCAGCTTCTTTGTCTTCCTCGTCTGCTGCCCCTTCCTCTTCTTCTTCCTCCTCCTCATCCTCCTCTTCTATTCTAGCCTGAGGTAGTTCGACCTTTTTGTACACATAGTCATCTACAGGTTTCTGGAAACGTCAAATAGGAGCTTTTAGAAATTATTTACAGAAAGTTGAGAACAAAGGTAGAGATTGTGTGTTTTTTCTGCTACCTTTGGCCAACAGAAGAGCACAGCCAGACCAATAGGGAGGCCGACTGTCAGGATGTAGATTATCCAGAGCCAGGGTCGCTCCTCGGCTGCCATCATCAGCTGGGCAAATATCCCCGGCTGGTGGGATTAAAACAGGACATCAGAGATGAAGTGGAACTGTTAACCCTCCCTGAAACACGGAAACTCTGTCCAACCTTCCCTCACTGACCTCGTTGGCACTTGCCACCAGTTTCTTCAGCCCCCAGCTGTCTGAGGCCCAGCGGTCAGCGACCTCCTTATGAGACGTGATGATGAAATTGTCGAAGTAAATGTCTGAGGTCATGGACCAAAGCTCTAGACCCACAGCTTTAAAAGGTGTCATCCTGAAGGGGTGCAGGTCCTCGAAATATTCAGGGTTCATCATTTTCCGTGGCTTCCACACTCCCTTCAGAGGAGACGAAGCAGAAGGTTTCAGGGTAAGAACATGTATACAGATACAGGCAGCTGAAGGGAGGATTTCCTGTCACCTGATAGTTGGGGTTGTCAATCAGAGGGGCTTTCCACTTGCCCTTATACTGTGGGTTGTTGATCATTGGTTTCTTCCACTCCCCGCAGCCAGGGGCAGTCTCACAGGCTGGGTTAGGAACCTGCGGTGCCTCCCACTCTCCATCCATCTCCTCGTCCCTGCAACCCAAGCAAAGAGCAATCAGCCCTGCTCATCACTTTGTTTTAGAGGACCCACATAGGGGCTGCTGGTCAGCTCTAAGACCCACCAGTCTTCTGGTTTCTCTGCGTTTGGGTCAGAGACAAACTCTGGCTCGTCATCCAGCCAGCCCTCAGGCTTTAAGGCATCCGGGTCCTCAATCTTTGCAGGCGCATCCTCGTCCCTGCAAAGCAAAGATTCATGCCATCGCTCATATTTTCTTAGAACTGCTGCATGGATGGTGTTCAGGTCTGCAGGGTACCCAGACTGCTGTACTTCTGTAATATCTGTAGATATAATCACCAGTCATCAGGCTTCATAGCCTCAGGGTCAGGAATCTTGGCCCGCTCGTCCCAGTCGTCCGGCTTGGAGTCATTTGGATCGTCGATCTCCTTGGGCGGGTTTACAGGAGGCACCATGTCGGACAGCAGGTTCCCACGGCTCACGCTGGACTGATCGATGAACATCTCATAGCTGTTGTCCGGGTTCAGGACTAAAAGGAAACAGAAGTGATAAATAAAATGTAAAAAAAAAACAGAGGCTCCTCATTAATCAGCCACATACCGAGGGTGTAGAGGTGGGTCTTCCTGTCTGTGTAGAACTTCTTCAGGTCCACGTCGGCCCTCTTGGCGTGCTTCTCCTCCATGTCTTTGTTCAGGGGGTTTTTGTGGCGGAAGATGAAGTGCAGCTTGTAGTCCTCTCCACATTTGTCGGGTCCGAACATGATGGTGTAGGGCGTCCTGTCATGGAACTGTTCCTGGAGCAACAAAAAGGATGAAATCAAGTATCCCAATTAAATCTGTAATCTGACCATCTGTGAGGCTGACCACATTAATTTATCAACCAGATACCAACCAGACTGAGACTGCCAGAGTCTGACAGCAGTTTGATGTACGCTCCACCACAGTCAATACCATCTTGGAAATTCACCTCATACCTGGAGTAAAACAAACAAACATGGACTAAACCTCTGAGCCTGTCTGTTTTATTAATAACAGCACGGGTGTGTTCTTTTGAACTCACTGGACTACCAGAGATTCATCCTGGAAGACAAAAGGTTTGTCCAGCATCGCAGCTATGGCGTGATGTTTCGCCCGAGACTTGAGCACCAGGCCCTGGTCTCCTGGAACCTTGTTCTCCTTCAGTGGCTCCACCATCCACTTTCCTGCAGGCAAACAAGAAAGAGGACAGACACAAGGGAGTTACAAAAATATTAAAAAAGTTACAAACATAATTTACTGGTTTCAGGCTCCAGATACAGGTTGGTGCAGTGAAGAGGCAAAGCTCTATAAACTGTCAACACTTCCTGCGCTGTTGACAACAAAACTCCCTCACTCCCCATCTCCGTTCTCCTCAAGCCCGGTAGTGTGTTCAACACTGAGAATTTGGATACAGTTCAGGCAGGCATTTAAACTGTCTGACCTCTCTATGCTAAGTCCAATATGTAATAACCACCTTTTTCCAGCCTCCAATCTTGATGTTACCTTTACACAATGGGACACTTGGGGTCTTACCACATGCAGGGATTTTTTTATAGATAACACTTTTCCTACTTTCACAGATCTGGCCAACAAACACTCTATTCCTAAATCCAGTTTTTTCCAATATCTTCAGATCCGTCACTTTATTCAAATGTATAATCCATCATTTCCTCAATTACCTGAGGATTCAAAACTGGATGTTATACTAAAGACCCCCATAACTTTAAAGGGCCAAATCTCTAATTTATATAACTTAATCATGTCATTTAGTAGCGTATCAACAGATAACATCAAAATAAAATGGGAGGCAGAATTAGGGACAGCCATTTCAGAAGAGATGTGGGTTAGAGCTCTTAATCTTGTGAATGGGACTACTTCTTGTGTACGTCTCAACCTGATTCAGTTTAAAATTCTCCACCGTACTCACTATAGTAAAGTCAGACTTGCCAAAATATACCCTGAAATAGATGGTACGTGTGATCGTTGCAGAGCCACCAACGCAGACTTAGCTCACATGTTCTGGTCATGCTCTAAGATGGAAGAGTTTTGGAGATCAATATTTGAGATTTTGAATGTTGCGTTTGGCCTACATCTAAGACCTAGTCCTCTAATGGCTATTTTTGGGGTTGATGCAGGGATTTCTAGTGAGGCAAATGTTATTGCTTTTGCAACTCTGATTGCTCGAAGGAGAATACTTTTAGAATGGAAATCCCAATTTCCACCTAAGGCATCAATGTGGCTTTCTGATATGATGATGTTCCTAAAAATCGAAAAAGTGAAGTACTTTCTGACGGGATCGACCAAAAAATTTTATAAAGTATGGGGCCCTTTACTGGGTTATTTTGATAAACTTGCAACTCTCCCTTCTCACTAGTAAGCAAGTCTCAATGTAAAGTGTTTCCATTTTTGGATAAGAATTCCCCCCCCCAAAAATTTATTTACTTATTTTTTCTTTCACCCAATTTTTAAATTTTTATTTATTTACCCCCCCCCCCCCCCCCCCCCTTTTTTTTTTTTCCTTCTTGCCGGCATAGGGTTAGTTGGGGTTGGATGGGGTTTACAAAAATATAAAAATGTCGAAATGCTGTGTGGTTCTTGTCATATTGTACACAGTCAGAGGAATTGTAATAACTGTTAAACACTACAATCTGAATGGCATTGTACATCTGTTTTAACAACAATAAAAATATGATAAAAAAAAAAAAAAGTTACAAACAAACCACCAGACTTTCTTTTCCAAGTTTGAAGACGTTTCGTTTCCCATCCTTGACGCTTTCTCAATTAAAAATGACTGGATTAGCGTTGAGTTATATGCTTTATAGCATAGCCCTACAGAGCCTTGTTATGGCTTAGAAAAAATGCAAATTGAGCTGAAAAAACAGGTCCACCCCTTAGTGATGGGGAGTAGTTGAGGTCATTGTTGTCCTGCAAGAGATGATACTGGCCTATGCCTCTGAAAATGGAGTCGTAAGGGTTATTGTTGGCCTGGCTGACCAGGAGAGATATTTTGGTCCCCTTCATAGTGATGAAGGGTTGAGATGATAGCGGGGACTCCCATAGCTAAGAACTCCCATAACGACTCTATAAATCCTCTACCTCAAAGCAAATCCAGACATTTTGAATTGAGAAACCTTCCTGGATAGGAAGCGAAACATTTCCAAACTTGGAAAGCAAAGTTCAGTGGTGTTTTTTTTTTTTTGTTATGACTAGAGCGAGAACATAAAGAACTCAATCTAAGCTAAAATAACTGCTTTAGGCAGCTAAAAGCACCGTCATTGTTCAATATGTCATTTACATTAGCACTGCGTCTGGGCTGTGATGAAATAACAGACAGTAGGGACTAACAGATAAAGATACAAACCGTCATATTTGGCGATGTCTTCATCAGCATCCTCCTTCATAGTTTTTGATAGCTGCCATCTGCCAACATGGACGTTATAAAACTCTGTTAGGCACACCTAAAGCCCCACATCACTAAAATCCATCAGAGTTTTATCAGACCCCCTGGTATACCTGTCCAGTGATCCATCATCAAACGTTTCTGTAAAATACACATCTCCAGTGGGAACAGGAGTCTTGTACGTAACCTGCGATTGGTGGAGACAGATTTCAAACTCAAAGGTTTAAAATCCAAACATGCGCTTATTCTTGGACATGTTCCCCACCTGGAAGGTAACATTAGCGTCAATTTCAGACGTTTCAGCTCCGTCTTTATCCTCCTCAAACTGTTCTTCATCTGTCACCATTGCTTCCTCCTCTTCATCATCATCTGCCATGAGAACCTGCAGCTCCTCCTCGTCTAGACCCCCATCGCCGCCCAGAGCTTCCGATTCTGGATGCTCATGGCTAGATGCGATGGCCGCCAAGACCATAGAGGAAAGGAACAGCAGGCGCCACACCCAGCCTGCACCTAGATTCATCTGAGAAGAAGGAACCAGACATACAACACAAGGAGGTGGTGATATAGGAGATGTTCTTCATAGCGAAGTGTTTGTCAGCAATAAAAAAAAAAGAACATCAAGCATTTAAGATGTTAGAGGAGTGACTGGATGAGATATAGAAGTTACACAAGTCTGTGTCACGACAGCAGAGTCTGTGACATACAGTTCGATTTATTTTAGCTATAAAAAAAACCTTCCCATAAATATAACATCCAGAAACACTGAGTGTATGTGACTAATTGCAGATTTCCTCTTTTAGATTTCTGGTTTTAATGACTTTATAACCAAGGATCTGCATGCATATAAACAGCATTGAAGATCTGCTTAATATTTCCTTTATAACAGATATCTGCAACTTCATCTGGATCCGCTCAGCCTGGCTCTGTTTGGTTTAGGAGCAGGAAATGAAAATCCTCACTGTGGACACCAGCAAAGCTCCAGGCTTCCCCTGATAAATCATACTTTTCATTGAGATGTTTATCTGCTTGTTACTAACTGAGGAGGCAGTGAGGAAAACTCCCCTCTATGGCTCTTTAGCATTCATCTAAGTGCTCAGTTTGCGCCAACGTGTTTAATAGAATCACCACAGCAGCTGTGAGTGAAACCCTGAAGGGGAACATAATAAGGAGAAGCTTATAGGTAACTGTAACCCATACAGTTGACAAAATTATTCTTAGGACCAGAAGGAAACAATGACAAGCAGAGCTGGAAGAGATCTGATGATCTGGCTCTGAAATCTAGAGACAAAGCAACAGGCACCACTATGACCTCAATAAGCAAACTGTTGTTAATATATAACTATTAGAGAGGGAATCCATTGATGATATCTGGTTTCATCCTTTCCTTCTTCATCATTTATTTCCTATAAAAGCAGTTCACCAGTTTTAAACAACGTTCAAAGGCTTTTCTGTACATTATTATTATTTTTTTCCTATATTTCTGTCCCAGATAATTCTACATGTAACAAGGGCTGGTATGTTTAATGAGTTAAGAACAAGAAAACAGTTCAACTAAGAAAGTACAGAAAAATGTATTACTGCTGTTACTGTAACAGAAAAAATAAAAAAAAATCTTCTGCAGCAGTTTATCCCTGGCTCCTCTATGAATACTTTTTATGACGGCCTCTTTATATTTTTTGGGTCAAATATAAAACGTGATGCAACATACTAGGAAGAAACGCAGCAGATTTTGAACTGCCTGGGAATCGTCCTGTCAAACTGAGCTACTTTTGCCATTTTATAAAGCAGCTAATAAGGTAAATGCATGGAAACCAGCTTACCAGTGGTAAACAAGGCATTAAAAACCTAGGGTTTCAAAAAAAATGATTAGTTTCTCATTAGTGATGTACTGATCTGATTGGTATCTGCATCGCTCCCAATATTGAAGAAATTATAGATCAGTTAGTGGTGAAAATCAGCCCAATTCATTAGAGCTGATCCATTCAGTATATTTCTATGACAAATATAAGTTTGGCTAAAAATCTTTTTAAACAGCAGGAAAGTTAAGCCCTTATGGGCATCTGTCTCTGATTCAGTAAATACAGTCAGTTTGCATATTTTATTTTCAGGATGGAAATAACATGAAAGCAAACAAAGCTCTGGTATTGGAAAACTATTGTAATCTGCAGATGAAAGTATTGGAATCAGATCGTAAGAGAAAAAATGTGGATCTGTGCATCCAACTTAATGGGGAGAAAAAATTAAATGTATACTGGCAAGTTTGTTAAGCGACAAATGATTTCCTGGAGAGAGCAAAGATTACGATTAAGAAGATTAACTTTATTGTCCCAAAGGAAATTTGATTTGGGTACAGACTCTGGCTGCTACATGGTCTAAAAACTATGTGTCAAACTGCATTCACACCTAAAAACATTGCTATAAAAATGCCATTATAAGACAATAAATAAATACATAAGGAAGCGTATTATATTACATTCACAATAAAAAAAAAATTGAAAGAAAAAATGTATAAAAATCCTTCTTTAAAAAAATCTGTTATGTGAGATAATGAATACGTAAAAAAGCATGTCAGCTTAGTTTAAATTTTGAATACCATTGCCTATTCCACAATTTACTGCTTAATCCCGTTTATTGCCTTCATGGAAAGCGGAACAAATGAGTTCTTATAGCGGTTCAATCTACAGGCAGTAACTCTAAGACGTCGACCTGAAGGAAGAAACTGATATTCTGAATAAAGAATATGAGACCAAGAATGGCCAAACAGATGTGCACTGCCAGTAAGCTGGCTGAAATAAGGAAACTACAGGTTTCCATTCTATAAAAGAAGGGAAAAATTAATCGTTTGGAAACTAATGATTCTGGAGAAACAACATTGTAAAAGGAAAGAATATTGTTAAGCCCCTGACTGCAAGCTATGAATGTTTTATATATGTTACTCTAAAGGGTAGAACAGCTTTTTTCAAAGGTTTTGATGCTTTATAGTCAAGCTTTAAGCAAGAAACATACAGGAGAATAGAATGCACTTGAAATAAGACCAAATAAATGGCAAATATCAGAATGAAATAGATTAAAGGCTTGGAGAAAATTTAAAGACATTAAGTCAATATATATAGAGACAAAATATAAAGTCATGGGAGATGATTCAATTCTCCTGTTTGGTGCTAAACCTGAAACACTTCACATAGAAGCAGCTTCATGTCTTATCAGATCAACTAATAATTATATCACCTACATGTGATGATAAAGTATGTTATCTTGCAGCAAAGCAAAGCAAATAAGCTGCTTCAATTCTCCAAGCTGTCTGTTGTTATACTTTCTCTAATAACGCTGCTGATAAATAGTCTTTATTTGTTGGTAGAAAACGCCCACCTTTAGCAGCTGCAATGTTAATGACAGCGTGTGAAAAGAAAAAAAATAATAAATAAAGCTGATGGGATGGATGTAGAGCCAACATGGCTGCCGTGGAGGACCGCAGTGGCCCGAACGGCTTCAAGATGAGCGGCTGTGTCCGCAGCACCTGCTGCTGGATGCTAACAGCGCCTCTCCACTGACAGCAGCACAATATGCGGCTCAGCGGATAAAAATAATTAGCTCATACAGTCACAACCTTCATTAAACACATTTGGCTTTGGATCTAGAAAGTATGATATACAAAATAGAACAGCAGCTTCAAAACAGGATTTGTTTTGACAGTAAAAATGAATGAAAAGCAGCTGCTAGCAGGCTAACTTAGCATTAATGTCGCATTAGATGATATGTAGAGACTTACAGAGAAGCAAACACTAACCTTATGAGATGTTTTGACCGCAGAGGAGAAATCCTTTAAAAAATCTGTCTCTATGTGTCAGAATCCTGAGCAGTTGTCCCGCTTCGGTTTCAGAGGGAAAGGGAGATATCTGAGGGAGCGTGAGTGACAGCTTGGTCAGAATAACGGTAAAGCCAGTGATGCGTTCGAGGACAGGCGGAAAAAAAACAACCTCTCATGAGACAAAATCTACAGAAGAGGATAAGGGCCCCTGGGGGAAAAAATAATTAACCGATTTTTTAAATATTATTTCAGTTTAATATGGGAAAAAAGTCAGAAAACAAACTATACTTTCCTACAGCCTTTGCTAACAAATAGACGCATATATTTAAAAACCCCGTAATTTTTAGATAATTAGGGGTGTGGGAAATAATCGTTTTGGCGATATATCGTGATATTCGGCTGTCCAATATAATATCGATCTTTCACTTCTTAGTATCGATTTAAAAAAAAAATGGTTACATAAAGCATTGATGGGAAAATAGGCTACCTCTGCACCACCACTCTTGCAGAAAGCGCTGTGGAGCCCTTTAACTGTGCGTGCAGCACCAAATCTGTATTTGAGGCCGTCACAGTGGAAGAAAAGCCCAAACAACATGGATAATAATACCTAATCAATATTTTCTGATGAAAATATGCAGCACTTGCTGTTTTATCTCATCATTTGATTTTGATAGCTGGGGAAAATATGGCAATATATAGTGATACTGCAATATCGTGATAATATCGTATCGTGACCCAAGTATCGCGACATGTATCGAATCGCAACACTCATGCCAATACTCACCTCTATAGATAATAGGTATAGTTGAAAAACTCTTTCAGTTTTGAACTCTGGGGTGTAAATCTTTTCCTTTTTTGTTATTATTTACCTACGTTTATCAATAAACATTCTGCATAAAATTGATCTTTACAAGCACTCATATCTACATAAATTTATTATTTTATAAGTTTTTATTAAAATTGTTATTTATCTATGATTTCACTGAAGACTCCTAGATGACTTGCAGAGACACATAGTTTTCTATTTACCCTAAATAACACAAAATCTAGTTCTGAAAAGAGCAGGAATTCTATACTTATCATCTTTGATGTTAATATATTGACATATATAATTAATCACAAAAAATTTAAATGTTTTGAATATTTCACTTGAGAGTATTACTGCTGCCACTATCTGTATTAGAGGGGTAAAAATGGTAGGGCCATGGCCGCCCCTGGCCCCGCATCGAGCTCTGCCCCTGGTACTGTATACTGCTGTATTCTTCAAACGGAAGGCGTTTCGGGGTTTCCCGCTGACAGTGAATGCAGCATCTGTCGTAAACTGAAATTATTTTTACGTTAGGTTTTGGATGATTTGAAGTACACTTCGCTGCAGCAAACAGAAAGGGGCGGGGACGGACCACTGTCAGGCTTCATTTCCCATAATAACTGACTCACGTTACAGAAAATCCAGTGATTAAACGTTGTAGCTTAGGTAATACATTTTATAAATAAACCTATCGGGCTTTAGTGTCGTAAATCGTTTTTACCCGCGCATGCGCGAAGCGTGTAAACACAAGGCGGTACGCATGGTTGCTGAGAGGTGAAATTAAAAGTGTGAATATAAAACAGAAACCTGCAGCATGAAGGATACTCCGCTGTCCAACTGTGAGCGGGACTTCCTACTAAAAGCCATCGAGGAGAAAAAGGTAACGTTTAATTTGGATTATTTTATACCGTAAAGCAATCTGAAGTCAACTATCTTCATTTTCTACCAAAATTCTACAGTTATCTTGTTCTACAGGGGTTAGATGTAATTCCCACTCCCCATTATGACATTTTGTTTGTCTCTCATATTAAATATATTTTAGGAGATGAGAAAACATATGAATAAAGGAAAAACGTCTGACTAAAAAAACAAAACAGAAACCTCCCCAGGTATTTTAGTTTTTCTGGAGATGTAAGTAAAATATACTTAATTTGGTCGGTTTTAATGTTTTAACAATGAATGTAGCTGGTAAATCTCAAACAGTTTGGGGGATCTTTCCCTCGTTCTGTCACCACATTAGTGAGAAATATGCATTTATAGTTTGAACAGCAATCCAAGAATCAACCTCATGTCAAACACCTCTCACTGGCCATGGATAACCACTTATTCTGGACGTGAGTCATGTTAGGAGACATGTATTGGGTTGAAGGATGACATTTTGAGGAAAAAAAGAAAATAATTTGTTCATATAACAACTCCTGAAACCAATGGCGTAACTATTGGTAAGCAGAGGCTGCATTTGCGTAGGGGCCCCTGACCACTAAGGGGCCCCCATCACTGACACCTGGTTTTACCCCAACACATGCCAGATTTCAACATGATGGTGAGCCGTTTAAACACGACACCAATAGCAAAGCAGACAGTGGTAATTTTAATTACTAGGTTAATAACTGTTAGCTCATTAGACGCTTGGTAAGAAAATACACCCATATAATATGTTTCAAACCGCTTTTTTACACTATGACTTGGAATTATGGGTAATCCAGAGCGTAGATCAGTCATCCCCAAAGTCGGTCCTTGAGGGCCGCTGTCCTGCAGGTTTTAGAGATTTCTCTGCTCCAGCACAGCTGGTTTTAATTGAAAGCTGATTAACAGGCTTTTGTTCAACTGCAATCATCATAATCAGCTGTGTTAAAACAGGGAAACCTCTAAAACCTACAGGACAGCGGCCCTCAAGGACCGACTATGGGGATGCCTGCCGTAGATTAAAACCATAAACGCTACTTACAATGTGTTACTGACGATGGATACCAAAAAGAGTTACTTAAGCGGATTCCAGAAAAGAAAAAAGAAAGAAGAGCTGCTGGAAGAACAGAAAAAACTTAACAAAATAAACACATTCTTTCAAAGAACAAAAGAGGGAATGATGGACGTTGCTGCTACAGTACTTCATATGGAGCCCACCCAGATAATGATGCGTACAGGCCTTTTGTTGTGTCGTTACGGCATTTTCTGAAACACAACTACAACATCTTGGCTTCTCCTCCTGATGCTGCTCACAGGCTTTTTTTGCACATGTTCAGCCATTGTGGATGTGTTGGTCTCTCTGGAATAAGCAGCAGGCTAATCTCTAAAGTGTTTCTGATAGAGTCTGCTCTGTGGGGAAAAGCACTGCTCTCCTGCAAGAATTTGGTCCCCAAACATGAAGCTGTTGGGTTACCAAAGGGAGCATCATCTAATGCTGATTAGGGGTGTAAATAATAATCATTTTGTATCGATCCAACAGCCGACGATCCGATGCATCGACACGTTTGTGTTAAAGATTCTGTGTATGCACCTTAATGCTCTATCTTTCCGGTTCTTTTCCCTGAGAAGAGATCACTTGGGACAAACTCTTTAAATAACACTTCATAACTTATATGTACGGTATTAAATAACCAGGAGACATGACAACAGATTCTGATAGAAATTGTAATCTTACTCAGATCAGAGAAATTGCTTAGAATATACAGAAGGCAGCTGTTCCCCTCCGGGCTCACCTCTCAGGAAGTGACCCCAATTAACAGTTAAAGAGGCATTTTATACATCTCCAGTCTGCCACATCATCTAATTTTACATCATACACTTTAGCAGATGAGTAGACATTTATGGCTCCAGCCTTATCAAAATAAAACATTGCTCTCATTCCACTGCCAAATCTTTGCCACGTACAAAATGACATAATTCGATTAAAACGTCAGTTCTGACGCGCATCAGGCAGCCCATAACAGGGTGTGATAAACTCACACATCTCCAATGATAATTATCCTAACACCCGCAAGAGTATCGATTCATGTTTTTTGCTCCTGGACGTAATTCTGACTCCCGTGCTGCGTTGGCACTAAACCTATTTTGCTCTCCTACCTCGCTTCCTTTAGCCACCACCCTCTTTCTGCTTCCCTTTTTTTTTGATGCAAGGCCTTTCAGACCCTATAACACAGAGGCATTATTATTTTTCAGTGATTGAGGTTTTAATAGGCGTTTTTTGTGTTGAACTTTTGTTGCTTCTTTTATTTGCTGTTGCTTCTCAAATAAAATGCATAACGATATTACAGCTTTCATTGATTTATTTCAATTTTGAAACTTTGTCTAGCCTGTAAGGTGGAAAAAAAATTAACCAATTAATTGAATCGTATCGTGGTGTATTCTTGAAAATAATCGATAATTTACACCCCTAATGCTGATATCCTGATAAATCAATAAAACACTGATTTGCTTATTTTTTCTGCTAAGTTAATCTGATGTGCCCAACAGAGCAGCACTATCAGATGTCCTCCTGATTTAATAGATCAAAGGCTCCAGATTAACCTCTCTGCTGTCTCCTCCTGCAGCGCCTGGATGGACGACAGACCTATGATTACAGGAAGATAAAAATCACCTTTGGGAGTGACTATGGATGTTGCTTTGTGGATCTGGGACAAACCAGGTGAGCGTTTGGTGAACTAAAGCAAAACATATGTTGATCCGTTTAATTCTGCTTTGAAAGGAGGATCCAGAGTTAAACAGCACATCTGGAGGCGATCCTTCATGGAGGACTGGAGAGGGTGAAAATCTGGAAACCTATTGAATCACTAACTGGCTTTTTTTATTTAAGTAAATGCTATTTATATTTATCATGTACTATTCTTCAGTTTATTTTTAGAACCTGTGTTTATGTTTCATTTAAACTCATTTTATCATTTATTTCTTCATTAAATTAACCATATTCTGCTTTATTTTCTTCCAAAATAATGTTTTTCGTTTTCCTACCAAACATGGAAGCTGTTTTAACTTTCTCTTGAAACTTACGAGCAAGCTGTGTTTCAGAGGGGCTGCCTTGCAAGACATGAGGTCATGGGTTCGATTCCCGGCCCCAGGGTTTTTCTGCATGGAGTTTGCATGTTCTCCTTGTGCACAAACGAGCTCTATCCGGGTAATCCAGTTTCCTCCGGGAGTCCATAAAACCGACTGTCAGTTTAATTGGCTTCTCTAGATTGTCCTTTTAAAAGAAGAAAAATATATATAAAAAAAAAAAAAACAGAATTCACAAATTTTTTGATATTTAAATGGGGAGTTATAGTTTATGGTAATGTTTTATCGTGTGTTGCAGTTGACTTTTGTTGTTAAACTGTTGAAAGATTGGTCGACAAAAAAAATTGTTAACCACTTGGTCAAAGCCTGCAGCTGCATTCAGTCTGTAAATCAGAATGGGCAAAAGTTATCGTCTCCAGATGTGCTGAGCTGCAGAGATACAACCAGAGGTCTCAGCAAAAGGTGGCTTTACAAACTAATGATAACATTTCTGATAGTTTTCTAATCTGAGCCGCCTGTGTGTGCGTTTTTTTCCCCAGGGTTATGGCCCAGGTGTCTTGTGAGCTGGTGACGCCTAAGGAGAGTCGTCCAAACGAGGGCATCATGTTCTTCAACCTGGAGCTCTCACCCATGGCCTCGCCTGCGTTCGAACAGGGAAGGTGAGAACAAGATCGGACACACCTGTGCGTGTGGCTTCTCGTTTAACCCTCTGCATTTCATTACACCTTAAAGAGTTTAGATGGGCCGTCGGAGCAGAAAATCATATGTGGGATTTCTGTCTCCCTGCAGACAGTCAGAGCTGTCAGTGAAGCTGAACAGACAGCTGGAGAGATGCCTGAGGAACTCCAAGTGCATTGATACCGAGTCCCTGTGCGTGGTGTCTGGAGAAAAGGTGATGCACATAGCGAGACACACGATTCGCAACACAACACCTGGCATTAAACAGCTCGGATCCCTGCTTTTGTAAAACATTTCCCAGCCATTTAGAAACCTTTTTACTTGGTAGATAGCTTTATGTTTCCCACATTCTGTGCAGCTCCCTCTAAACCTATTGACATCCTGAATACGGAGAAACTTGAAATAATTCATTTTTTTTTTTGTTTGAGCAACATAAAATCAAAATAAAACATATGTCCTCTAAATTCAGCTTATTTATTCAATGGGAGAAAAAAAATAACTGTATATAACAAACTAAAACTTATCTTCCCACCTAATAATACCATTATAGGACCTTTATAAAATTATGTAGCACTAGAACCACTTATTCCTTGCAGCTGTTATCTAATAATTACATCCTAGACAAAGGAAACAGGTCTGCATCAGATTAGGCATCTTGTGATGCTGATGATGCTGGTAATGGCTGCCATGACGATTATCTAAGTTGTGATATGTGCCTATGTTTTTGTGTGGATCCATCACTGTGATCTCAGCATTTCAGCAAATGTCCATCTGTTGCTTTTAGACTCCATCTTACTGGCTAATGGTTACATTAGTAATTAATTAGCCTCCAAACAGTCCTTTAGAGCATTATTATTACACACATTGATATCTGTGGCTTTTCCTACCATATCTCTATAGAATGTCTATAGGATCTGTTTGTTTTTCTGGTTGTTGTATATCATCGAAACACAAACTGCTTTATTTCTTAATGTAAGCTACCTATTACTCTTTATTTTGAATGCAAGTTTTTATTAATGTGTTTTTGTAAAGTTATAGATTGACCTTTTTTCCTCCAACGATAAACCAAATGGATTACACTGATCAATCTAAACATTGATAGCATAGAGTTTAAGGTTCCTAACCAGGCATCCCCTAACCCCCAGATTCCACATACTCCGTCAGCGCTCCGCTCCGCTCCGCCCCGCTGACGTACGTCGTGCGGAGCGCTTGTCTTTCATGTAAATCAATGAGAGCTGTTCCACATCCACCGCTACTCCTCCGCACGTCTCCGTCCACGTACGTCTTCTCCGTCCGTCACCGACAAATTACGGAGCCGAGCTATTTTTTGCTCCGCTCCGGTCCGGCCAAGTCAAGATCCGCAATTGCAATCGCACCAAAGAGGAAAAAGAACCTCGACAAATTCCGGTTCGTCAAATTAAAATATTGTAGCAACAGATTGGTGACTTTGCGTGGAACTGTTTATAAAGCCGTATGTTCGGAAAGGAAGCTCGAGGCGGAGAAAAAGCTAGAGAATATATATAGCCTACGTATATATATATATGTGTGTGTGTGTGTGTTTACATACATACAGGAGTCATGGAACTCTGCTTACAGCTCC